ACTTTTAGTTTCCATTATCATGTATTCATTCAATAAGGATTTCTTGAGCACCTATTATATACAGGGTGTATACTATTGTGTTGTGAAGAATACAGATATGCATCAGATAGACATTCTGCTCATAATTATTCTTATAGTTTTGTATAAATTAAGTACATTTCATATAAATAACTTTAACATAAGAATTATTGTGGGTTTTGTTTATTTTTCAGTACAAAGGATTGAACCTAGGGCCCTGTGTATGCTAGGGAAGTGCTCTACTATTCTACATCCCCATCCCTCTTTTTTAAAATTTTATTTTAAGATAGGGAACAAGGTCTTGCTAAGTTACCCAGGTTGGCCTCAAACTTGTGATACTCCTGTCTCAACCTCCCATATAGCTAGGATTACAGGAACGCAGCACCATGTCTGGCTTTGAAAAAAAAAATTTTTTTTGTTAAATCTTCAAGGAGGACACCATTATTTCATGTTATGGAGCAAATGATGTTAGTATTCCTTTTGAATTTGCTCCATCCTGTTGTGGAAGGGAAATTAGGGGTAGAATTATATTATTGTTCCTGTGTCTGTGGGTCAGTTGAGGTTTGGGTGTCTAGCCTGGGCCTGGATAGGCAGTTTCATTTCAGACTGCTGGGGCTGGAGAAAAGATATGCTCCTCCTTACAAGTCTGTGTACTGGTAAGTTGACTCTGCTTCTCTATCTCTCAGGGAGTGTTTTTCTCAGGTGCTGACATAGGTACAAGAGGGCAAAGAGAAATATATGAAGCCTTATAAAAGCCTAGGCTAGGAGCTCACAGACTGTCACTTCTGCTACATGTCATTGGTCAGCAGAAGTCACACGGCTAAACCCAAAGTTGTAGTGCAGGTGTTGGCTGGGATATAGATGCAGTAGGAGTAGCAAGCTGATGCAGTCTATGGCAGATACCTTGTGGTTATATCATGCTTTGTCTATTACATTTTTATGAGAAAATTTCAATTTTTAGACTTATTAAAATATGATAAAAACAAAAATAATAGCATCATATGGAAGAATATCACTACTTGTCTCTACACCCACTTTCTGATACTGGGCAAGAAAGCATGAGGTTAAACTTAAGAGAGTTGAGGAGGATCTAATGCAAATACCCACTTAGTGTTTTAGGCTTACTTGAGGCTGGCTGTAGGCCACATTTTCTATTGATGTTTTAGACCTCCAGTTCCTGCACTTTCTTACTTTCAGTAGCAACCAGCTCCCTTACAATCCTGACATCTTCATGCTCTTTCTCCCTCTCTATCGAAGCCTGTTCTGCAGAAAGGATCTGGTAAACTCATTCATAGTGAGGCATGAGTAACTGATCAGGATTAAAACCTAACTTTCTTTAGGAGCATTTTGCATTTGAACATGAGAAAAAAGAATAATGACTGTAGAATGGAGGGAATTCACACAGCCAAGAGTAGGGTGGAGAAGGAAAGGTGATGGGCACCAATGAACAAGCCCAGGAACTTAAAAATCACATTCCACAGGGCATTACATTTTTCCTAGACAAGTTGGCAGTGTGGATTTTTGGATAAGGGCAGAGTTGCAGGAATAATTAGGGACATATGTTAACGCAATTAAGACATTGTATTATGTATTTAATGTAAATATTATTAACATAGATTCTCTACTAAATAAAATGTGCTTCACAGTCCCAAATTATGGGACACAAAGAAAGCAATTCCAAGAGGGAGGTGTATAGCTATGAATGCCCACAACAGAAAAACAGAGCAAGCCTAAATAAACAACTTTAAGTTGCACCTCAAGGTCAGAAAGAAACAAAAACAATCCAAATCCAAAGCTAGCACAAGGAAGGAAACTATAAAGATCAGAACAGAAATGAATAAAATTGAGACAAAAATATAAAGAATCAATGAATCAAAGAGCTGATTCTTTGAAAGAATAAAAAAATAGACAAACCATTAGCCAATCTTACAAAAAAATAAAAGAAAATATCCATATCAATGCAATTACAAATGAAAATAGACACTGCCTAAATCCAGAAGATTATTAGTAACTATTTTGAAAAGCTATACTCCAATAAATTGGAGAATCAAGAAGGAATGGATAAAGTGCAAGGTCCTGAGTTTGATCCCTGGTAATGGAGTGTGGTGGTGAAGGAATGAATAGATTCTTAGATACATGTGAATTACTGAAACTAAACTAAGAAGATATAAAAACTCTGAATAATCCAATAACAGGCAATAAAGTGGAAGCAATAATAAAAACCTTACTAATTAAGGAAAGCCCAGGACCTGACGGATCACTGCTAAATTCTACAAGAACTTATGGAAAGATCTAACACCAATACTGCCCAGACTCTTTAATGAAATTGAAAGGGATGGATTAATCCCCAAGTCATTTCTGGAAGCTAGCATTACATGGATTGCTAAACTAGACAAGGACTCAACCAAAAAAGAGACAGGCCAACCTTTTTAATGAATGTAGATGCAAAAGTCCTCAAGATACTACAACAAACAGAATGCAACAAATCTAAAAAAGATCATACATCATGATAAAGTAAGCTCCATCCCAGAGATGCAAGGATGGTTCAACATATGCAAATCAATAAATACAATACACCACATAAACAGAAGCAAGGACAAAAATAACATGATCATCTCAATAGATGCAGAAATAGTCTTTGACAAAATCTAACATCCACTCAGGATAAAAACCCTGCAAAAATTGGTATAAAATGATCCTACCATAATTTGACATAAGCCATTTATGATAAACCTACTGCCAACATCATATTAAATGGGGAAAAGCTGGAAGCTTTCCCTCTAAAATCAGGAACAAGTCAAGGGTATCTACTATTCCCACTCCTATTCAATATGCTTGAAACATGAGATAGAGCAATTGAGAAAAAGAAAGAAATAAAAGGGATATATATATATATAGGAAAGAATACAAATTATCAATACTTGCAGATGACATGATCCTCTACATAGAAGACTAAAAAAAATTCTACCAAAAGACTCCTAGAAAATAACCAAATTGTAGCAGAATACAAAATTAACACACAGAAATCAATAGTGTTCCTATATACCAATAAAGAAAAAGAAATTAGGAAAATAATACCATTCACAATAGCATTTTAAAAATTTAAATACTTAAGTTTTAACTTAAGCCATGAAGTGAAAGACCTCTACAATGAAAACAACAGTACTCTAAAAAGGGAGCTCATAAAGGTCATCAGAAAATGGAAAGACATCCTCTGTTCCTGGACAGGCAGAACCAATATAGTCAAAATGGCCATACATCCAAAACTGATATATAGACTTAACACAATCCCAACCAAAATAGCAACACCATTCCTCAGAGTACCAGAGAAAAGCATCCTAAAGTTTATGTGGAATCTGAAGAGACCCAGAATAGCAAAAGCAATGGTGGGCAACAAGAGCAAAATGGGAGGTATCACAATCCCAGAATTAAAGTTGTATTACAAAACTACAGTGATTAAAAACAGCAGGGCACTGGCACAAAAACAGACACCTGGATTATTGGAACAGAACAGAAGATGCAGAAACAACCCCAGGCACATTCAGCTCTCTGATCTTTGACAAAGGGATCAGTAACGTAGGCTGGAGGAAAGATAGCATCTTTAACAAATGGTGCTGGGAAAACTGGCTATACATATGCAGAAGATTGGATCTACACTCACAGCTTTCATCATGTATTAAACTAAAATAAAAATGGATCAAAGATCTAAATGTTAAAACAAACAATCTATTGGAAGATAAAATAGGTAAAACTCTTGAAGACATAGATGTAAGCAAGGACTCTGAACAGAACCCAATTGCACAAGAAAAATACCAAGAACTAACAAATGGGATCATATCAAATTAAAAAGCTTCTGCACAGCAAAGAAAACAAACAACAGAATGAAGAGACAACCTACCGAATGGGAAAATATTTTTGCCAGCTATTCTTTGGGCAGAGGACTTTATGTACAATATATAAAAGCTCAAAATTTTTTACAACCTCCCCTATAAAAGACCAAGTCAAAAAATGGGCAACTGAAATGAGTAGATACTTCTCAGGAAAAAAGATGTACAAATGGCCAGTAAATACCTTTAAAAATGTTTAACATCTCTGGCCATTAGGGAAATGCAAATTAAAGCAGCACTGTGATTCCATCTTACTCTGGAAAGAATGGCTATAATGAAGAAATCAAATAATAAATGCTGGTGAGGCAGCAGGGGAAAAGGAACCCTTCTTCATTGTTGGTGGGAATGTAAACTAGTACATCCACTCTGAAAATCAATGTGGAGATTGTTCAGAAAACTAAAACTAGAAATTCCATTTGACCCAGGTATTCCTCTTCTATGTGTCTTCCTGAGAGATTTAAAGGCATCGTATTACAATGATACATGCATACCTGTGTTTATGCCAGAACAATTCATAGTAGCTAAATCTTACAAGTGGCCTTTATGGCCATCGATAGATGAAAAGATAAAGAAAATATGGTACTTGTACACAGTGGAGTACTACTTTGCTATAAAGAAGGGTTACTTGAGCCATTTGCAAAAAAATGGATGTACCTTGAGGTTATGATGTTAAGTGAAATAAGACAGAAAAGCTTACATACTATATGGTTTCTCTTATACAAGAAACCCAAAATATAAAGAACAAAGTAAAAGATAATAGGAAATAGGGATATGGGTAGTTTGCAAAAAGAAAGGTAACCAAGGGATTGAGAGAAGGAGGAGGGAGAGGAGGAGAAAGGGCTAAAAATAGAACTAAAATGTGTTACATACATGTTGCAACAGCCCATGAAATGTAATTATTATGTATTGCAAATATCTACCAATAAAATGTTTTTTAAATCTGTTTAATAAAATTTTATAGTGTAATGGTTCTAATTCTTATAGTTACTCTGCTTGAGAAGCAAGTGAATAAATATAGCAGGCATTAGCCAGGAACTTTCTGAACTGTGTCAAGGTTAATAATAAGTAAAATGTTATAAGTAGAGACAGGACAGCAACAGCTGTGCAACATTCTTGGAAGCAAGGACTTTGATAGCCTGAAGTCAGACAGTGAACTTGTTTTTGTTTCTTTTTTAAGTGAGCAAAGAATTGTTATAAGGAAAACTACATTTATTTTATAAATTACTATCATTTTGCATATAAAATCTAATGTCTGCAACTGAGAAATCAGAGGCATGCGGAGCAATGTTTGAAGAAGACACAGATCAAATCTACGAGAATGTCTTAGCTGAGATCCAGTCTTTTGAGCTGCCCATTGAAGTGACTTTAAGGTAGGATACTTTTATATTTCATTTTTTTCTTCAGTGGCTCTAAAGTAATCCTTTCCCTTCCTTTTAGTTTTCTTTATAACAGAATAAAAATTTGAAAACCAGTTATACCTCTGTGTATACTTTATCTCAAAACTTTCTTTAGAGAAATTACAAGAAATAATCCACTTTTTGATATTGTTTCCTGATTAATTACCACAAGTTAAAAAATATAAATGTCTTTCAAGTGACCAGAAATGACTTCATGTCATCTCCAAATAGATATTCCATCTCCATCTATGTGAGTTTTCAACTGTTTTCTCTAAAACATCTTTTAGTGGAAAACATCTAGCAAAATTAGACATCGATGAAATCAATTTATATTTGGGTGAATGTGAATTGTAGAAAAAAGTGTAGAATGTTTGTATTGTACTGTTGTTGCTATCTCAGATGTGTCTTTATTTCCATTTAAGATTTTAAAAATAGCTTCTTTGGTAATATGAAAATTTTTTTTTTTTTTGGTACCGGGGATCGAACTCGGGTCCTTCCACTTGCAAGGCAGGCGGCAGAACCACTGAACTAAATCCCCGGCCCAGTAATATGAAAATTAATTTGCATAGTTCAATAACAATTAAAATAAAAGGCCATGTGTCTTCATGTTTAAAGGAGCAGCTTTTAAAATTCAGTTCTCTCTGATTGTGCATTTGTATCCAACACTTATCAGTGTGGGAACAAGATGTCAGTCAAGGCATATGATAGTGATGGTCAAATATTTATTGACTAATATTTGTAGACTAAGTGGAAGGTTTTTCTTTTTTTTGGTTTGTTTATTTTTTAGTGTTGTGTCTTCATCGTCAAAAATGTCCTGGGGCCAAGTTCTATGAAATCCCCCTCAGTTCAAACTTGAATAATTTTTCACCATATTTTTGAAGTTTATTTTGCACTAAACATAATTTGAATTTCTTTAAAGGGTTTAGTGTAGTGTTGGAGCCATAGAAAACTATTTTTACTGATTGATTCTTGTATTATCAATATACAGTTGCCGTTGTAAAATAATTGCAACTCTGTCAGAACTGTTCCATGCCAAAGCCTTCATCTTGTATGAGCATCACAAACATTCTGTGAAGAAAGGCAGGTAATTTTTATCCTATTCAATAGCTAGAAGAAACCACCGTGTTTTTTTTGTTTGTTTTTGGTACCGGGGATCAATCTCGGGTCCTTGCGCTTGCGCAGCAGGCGGCGGAACCACTGAGCTAAATCCCCGGACCGTACTGTGTTTTTAGACACCGGAAACTCTACAATTTTCTCCTTCTGGAGTGCCTTCTGGAATTTTTGCATTTGCCTAATGGCTAGGTCAGTAGTCTAAAGAGAAACAAGAGAGGAAGTAAAGGGACCCTAGATGTTTTAGTTACCGTGGCCTCTGCAGCCATTGCTGTTCAGAGCCCTTGGCTTTTGACCCCTGACTCCCCACCCCCAGTCTCACAACCCTGGCCCAAATCTACAGACTTCATCCATTTTAGAACTAGCCTCTCATTTGGAAGGGTGGATAAGAATCACATGATTTCGAGATCCTATGTTGGTTTTCATTCCTTGTGTGAAATATGGTACAATTGCCTACAGTATTAAGTTTGAAAGTGAGATCTTTCTTTTCAGGGAAGAGCTGAGCTGAAACTATACTTTTCCTATGGTTTATTTGTGTTGTCAATGAAACAGCCATTAAAGCCTTCTCAGACAGCTATACAAATTGAATTGGGGGATAACATTTCAGAGTATAAAAGTGAAATTTGGTATAGGTGACTGGATTTAAGAAAAAAGAAATGAAAAGAAAGATCTGCTGCCACTGTCTCCTTTGTCCTAGCATGGTTAGCTTTGGGCATTCAAAATTGTCTACCTGGTAGAAACTAACCACCTGGTGGGATCTGGAATTGGTTTTGCTGCCCTAATCTCTTTGGCCTGGGCATCACTGTTTTCAACGTGTCGTAACTATATGCTAATTTCCACTAAATGTTCTCATTCTGTTCAAATATCTTGATTTTCACTCCAGCCCCTTTATTTGGCTGGTTCCTTGCCATCCCTCAGGGGATGTGCTTGTTCCTAGAGACTTAACAGCTATCTGGACCCATGCTAATGGAAAGTAAGTACTATCAGTTTTACTCAGCATTATGAACTTCCATGAACAAGGAAGCTCAATAGATCTAAACTAGCATATAAATTCTGATCCATTGAGAATAGGTGCCTGAATCTTCACATTGAGGATGATTCTGATAAATTAATGATGGCAGCTATGGTCTTAGGATGAGGCAGTAGCAGTGTTTAAAACATTTATTTACCACATTTACAGTAGAACTTCCCATCGCTTCTCGGCCTTTTGGGTAAGATCAAGTGTACAGTAGAACTTCCCGCTGCCAGACCTTACCAATGGAGACTGACTCAGAAGGGGATGTAGCCTGGGGCTCATTTTGCCTCTCCAGGTCCTGCAGGTGTGTTGTTAGCCCCTTAGAACAGGCCCAGAAAATAGGTCTGAATTGATTTGGTCCAGAGGTCACAGTGTGCTTTGCTGCTATAACTGAGCCTAACTGATAAGAAAATGATGCACATTGTAGGGCATTGCAAAGTTAGTGGGAGGTAGAGAGGGAGAGTGTATCCAAAAGAGGCCCTACAGAGGGCTGGGAAAAAATAGGAGGAAAAGGGAATTGTACAAGATGACGTACCAGAAGAAATTTTTGTAATTGTTTTATGATAACATAATTGTTTCACACTTGTATTCACAGACTCTTTTGGGCTCTTTTCCAAAAGCTGACCATGAAGCTTTACCAGTTTAAGAGCAAACAGGATATTATATTTCTTTGACTTTAGGAAGTCAAAGAAATGTTTTTAGGAATGACGATAACAGGCTTTTAGAAAAAAATAGAGAACATTAAAAACAAAACTCTGTATACTCTAAAATCTTAGAATGGCATACTCAGTTTTTTAACTCGTTAAATTCAGTTGTAGATATTCCAAACTAATGTATTGTATCTTATTCTATTAAGTATATTAATATGAAAGGTTTAAGTTTTAATCTAGACCAGACACTTATCAGTTATGTGAATTTTGGCTTTAGTTTCTGAAACTCTAAAATGGAGAATATAATAAAACCTATCTCAAATGGTTGGTGTATATGAAATGCTTAGCACAATACCTGCTTGGCACATAATAAGTGCTTAATAAATATTAACTGTTACTATTATTGTCTAATTTACATCTGGGATTTTTATTCCAACAGAATTTAACATGTGCATATACTTTATTTATTTTTACACAATACTAGGTATTGAACCCAGGGATTCACACAGGTAGGCAAGTGCTCTGCCACTGAGCTACATCCTCAACCATTTTTATTTTAAGATAGTATCTTGCTGAGTTACCTGGGCTGACCTTTAACTTGCAATTCTCCTGCCTCAGTTTGCCAAGGAGCTGAGATTAAAAGTGTGTGCCACTGCAGTTGGTTTATTTTTAACATATACTTCAGAGTTTTGAAGTAAACAAGCATTCACAACATCGTTAAATTCTGAGCAAACAGGATATATGAAGACATATGAATTTTTAAAAAGGATTTTGTAGTTTTTACTTTAAAATTTTAGTCATGAAGCAGGTACAAAAACTCATCAACTTATCAAGACAGTCGAATCCAAAAGCAAAGTAGGTACTTCAGAGATAGTTATACATACAATTTAAATATCAGCTTCTAATTAAACTGACTGACCAACGGGCCTACAAAATCCTTTTAAATAGCTCATTACCAGATTCAGACAGACAGCAAATATATTTGACTTTCTTTTCTTCTTTTTTCCCTCTAAGAATCAGTCTCCCCTGAAGTTGGTATTTTTAAAAGGAATAGCTTCTCAGATAAGACAAGGAGTAAATTTACACCTTCGGGGAACAGAGAAATACTGTAAGATTTCACCAAGGAGTTTTACAGAGACACATATTTGCCTATTATATGTCCAGGGTAATCACTACTTAGATTTTTTTCCTTTGTTTTTCTTTTTAAAAATATATTTTTAATTGACACATAGTACACATTTTTAATTAACACATAGTAATTGTATATATTTATGAGTAGTGTGATGTTTCAATGGATGTATATGATGCGAATGATTTGATCAGGGTAATTGACATATTTGTGTTAGAAACACTCAAAATCCTCTAAAATTTAAAAAAATTTAAAATTGACAAATAATAATTTTATTTATTGGGTACAGTGTGATGTTTTAGCTGGGTGTGATGACTCACATCTGTGATCCCAGCACTTGGGAGACTGAGGCAGGAGGATCACCATGAGTTTGAGGCCAGCTTGGGCTACATAGTGAGTTCAAGGCCAACTTGAACTACATAGAGAATCTCTGTCTCAAAAAAACAAAAACAAAACCAAAGACACAGAAAAAAAACCCAAACAAAAAAAGTTATGTTTTGAAATGTTTACATGATAGAATAATAAATCAAGCTAATTAACATCACCTCACATACTTATATTTTGCAATGAGAACATTTTAAATCTACTTTTAGCAATTTTGAAATATAAAATGGATTATTAATTATAGTCACCATTCTGTGCAGATTGCTAAAGCTTATCCCCTGTCCCCACTAAAACCTTGTATTATTTAATCAGCATCTCTCTTCATCTTGTCTCATTCCACCAGCCTTGCTAACTACCATTTTACTTAATACTTCTTTGAGTTCAACATTTTTAGATTCCATATATTTTTGAGATCATGTGGTTTTTGTCTTCCTGTGGCTGTAAATTTTATTTTGGTTGCATAACATTCAGGAGATTGAGGTACCCCCTTTAAAAATCATATTCATGAATGTTTATATGTTATACTAATACCATGACCTCATTTATTCTCCAATGAGAGTGTATAGTGTTCTACATACTGTAGGTATAGTATAAGATGGAGTCCAGGGAAACTGTTCAGAATTAAATGTAGGCCCAACCAAGACAGGCCTGCTGCACCTGGAGCACCAAGGAAAGCCAGGGATCA